TGTGTTACAAATTCCCTTCTGACAAGCAGTCATGGGCCTCTGATTCATCAAGGTTCAAGGTGACTTTATTTGTTCATATCCAAAATCAATTCCTGATGTTCCTGAGGCCCCTGGCCTCAGCAGTTCTAAACGATGGGCCATTTGTTTGCAGCGTTAGAGATGTTTTCTGTTGTCAGTGGAGGTCCAGTTCCAGCACAGATGCCCCTCCTCCATATCTGCCCATTCCTGATTGCACAGATTTTTTTTTTTTTTTACTCTTCACAGATAGTAGCATCCAGGAGACCAGTCACTTCATATCACAGGGAGGGCACTAGCCCTAGATCAGGGTGTGGACGAGGAAATAGCCCCAGACATAAAGCTAAATATATAATTTCTCCCATGCCGGTAATCACAATGTCCGGACAATTTGAAATGACAGTTTAACCACTTTAGACTGTGGGCCCATTTGAGCATCAGGAGTTGAGGGCGCGTTTGAACACTTGCCGGCACGCCTGGTTGGTCCATACAATGCTCGTGGAGACCTCTATTAGGTACAGGGGGGTTCTCCATACAAATTGAGGGGAGGAAGAGTGTCACAGAGTTGGGAAAGCTCGTAGACCAGGCAGGGCGAATTCTACTGAATGACTGACAGGCCAAGAGCTCAGGAAGGAAATACTCTTTGCAAACGGTATAAGTTTACATGATTATTAGGATATCCAGCTTCCTCCTGAAATGGCCGCCTATTTCCCTGTTAGAGCCGGTAAGAGCACGCACCTGGATCAAGCTTCACCACATAAACAACACCCAAAGCCACCAATTACATCTATAAATATTAATAGGCTTATCTGCACATATTCTTTTTACACCGAAGGGTCAGAGATGCTCTTATGAACAACCGATCTATTTAAATTCTTAAGTCCAATTTGCATATGCAGACAATTTCCCCCCACTTCATTTTATCTTTTCAGCCCCCCTGCCATCATCACGTCACATAAGGAGAGTGCATTTGGTATTCATTCACTGATTGAATGCTTGATGAGATCCTCAACAGGGCGTCTTGCAAACGGAACACTTTAGAGGTGATGAGACGAGAAAGCGTGTGTGGAAAATGCGTGTGCGTTATACTTGCCACTCTCTTGTTCTGCAGAGCGGACCAGAGCTGAGACTTCAGGGATGTAATCATGGGGGAAGAGTTGTCTCCATTTACTCGACATATACATACAGTGTTAGAGTTGCCTGCTCTTTCTACACACTATGGGAGTACAGTCTAATACGGGTCTTTTTGGCAAACTACTTTTTGTCCATTGCTGCTCTCAAACTACTTCAAGGTCTCATGAATAATACAATGGGAGAAAATCTGCATCAAAAGTAAAGAGAAATTGAGAAGTACGAAATGCTAAGAGGCAAATTGTCCGGAATGGGAGAGGAGAGGGTGGAGGAAGTGAGCTGAGAGCAGCACTTTAGAGAAGCTTCTCTCTCAATACAGATGCAACTTGTTTCGATATCATTGTGTTTGCGTCCCAGTTATGTGTCTTGTACATAAACAAAATAAAAATAAAAACTTTGATCTTTCTGGCATAGTTGTTCATTTTCATAGTCTATATATTTTGGTAAATAGAAGGTTTCTGCATTCTGAAAGCACATGACCTTAGTTAAAAAAAAATTATTGGGAAGAGGCAATAAATGAGTGGATGGCTTTACTACAATGGGTTATGCAATATATAAAAAAAAAAAAATTTCACTCACCTTTGGCCCTCCGCGGGCGGTTATCCCTCTCTAAGCTCGGGTCCTCTACCAGAGGCCTGGGAGCTTGAGGGTTCTGCGCAGTATCTTTGCTGTTCCTAGCACTGCACATTTCTGGACCGAGATGTCCGAGGTTGTTCCGGGGATCCGCTGTAACCACTCATCTAGCTTCGGGGTCACTGCCCCGAGTGCACCGATCACCACGGGCACTACTGTCACCTTTACCCTCCAGGCCCTCTCCAGCTCCTCTCTGAGACCTTGGTATTTCTCAAGCTTTTCATGTTCTTTTTTCCGGATGTTACCATCGCTTGGAATTGCCACGTCCACCACCACGGCTGTCCTCTGCCCTTTGTCTACCACCACGATGTCAGGTTGGTTTGCCATTACCATTCGGTCGGTCTGTATCTGGAAGTCCCACAGGATCTTCGCACGCTCATTCTCCACCACCTTTGGAGGAGTTTCTTAGACCTTGGGGTTTCCAGCCCATACTCTGCACAGATGTTTCTGTACACTATGCCAGCCACTTGGTTATGGCGTTCCATGTAGGCCTTCCCTGCCAGCATCTTGCACCCTGCAGTTATGTGTTGGATCGTCTCAGGTGCCTCTTTGCACAACCGACACCTTGGGTCTTGTCTGGTGTGGTATATCTGGGCCTCTATCGCTCTGGTGCTCAGGGCCTGCTCCTGTGCAGCCATGATGAGTGCCTCTGTGCTGTCCTGTAGGGCCAGCCCTTTCTAGCCATTGGTAGGACTTCTTGAGATCAGCCACTTCTGTTATGCTCCGGTGGTACATGCCGTGTAGGGGCTTGTTCTCCCATGATGGGCTCTCCTCCAGCACCTCCTCATCTCGCCACTGCCTGAGACATTTACTGAGTACGTCATCCGTTTTGGCCTTCTCCATGATGTAGTTATGAAGTTTGGATGTTTCGTCCTGGACAGTGGCTCTCACACTCACTAGTCCTCGGCCTCCTTCTTTACGGCTTACGTACAGTCTCAGGGTGCTGGATTTGGGATGGAACCCGCCATGCATGGTAAGGAGCTTTCGAGTTTTAACATCCGTGGTCTGAATCTCTTCCTTTGGCCACCTGATTATTCCTGCAGGGTCTGATCACGGGCAGGGCGTAGCTGTTAATTGCCCGGGCCTTGTTCTTGCCATTGAGCCGGCTTCTTAGGACCTGCCTTACTCGCTGGAGGTATTTGGCAGTTGCCGCTTTCCTCGTCACCTGTTCGAGGTTGCCATTTGCCTGTGGTATACCGAGATACTTGTAACTGTCCTCAACGTCTGCTATTGTTCCCTCTGGGAGTGAGATCCCTTCTGTGTGGACTACCTTGCCTCTCCGAGTCACCATCCTGCTACATTTCTCGAGCCCGAATGACATCCCGATGTCATGGCTGTAGATCCTGGTTGTTTGGATCAGAGAGTCGATGTCTCTCTCGCTCTTGGCGTACAGCTTGATGTCATCCATGTAGAGGAGGTGACTGATCTTTGCTCCGTTCCTGAGGCGGTATCCATAGCCAGTCTGGTCAATTACTTGGCTTAGAGGGTTGAGGCCTCTAAGCCTCAACCCTACCATATATATATATATATATATATATATATATATATATATATATATATATATATATATATATATATATAATTAGTGTGTATATTACACATAATCATCACACTGTGTAATTACCACTTATGCTTCCATATACGTATGTAAATGAACCAGAAAAATAATGTGTAAATGTCGTATAGTGGAAAGGATGGTACGAGCTGCCACAGTGGGTCTGCTAAATGAAGGAACACAATACACTTATCAAACCCAAACTTTACTGAACTAATTTGAACTTGTATATTTTTGAAAGGAAGTGCCAGGGGACACATCAGAACTTTCACACAGTTGAAGCAGTGAGTTGTAGCTGGCACACAAATGCCCCCTTCTCCCCAGACACACACACAGTATAAGACACGTCAGGCCGTGGTGCTTGTAGTAAACATCTGAAAGGAACAGGGGTAATTCACTTGATAAATGTCAACTGAAATGAAGCTATCAGCTGAAAGCAATTTCCTTGTGCTCGCCTGTGTTCTGCGCCAGAGACTTGGGAGATTTTCACCCCTCCATCGATCATGAAGCCTCTGTTTTAAGCCAAGGTACACAATGCCCCCAAATTGCTGACATGTGGACCTAGAATCGCCACAAAACATGCCATTTTCACTGCGGCCCGCCTCTGTCCAGACCCAGCCACTCCTCTGCTAAACTCTTGTTTATCCAATGACTCCAGTCTGTTTAGGCCATTAAGGCCAAAGCATTTAGAATAAGGAGCCAAGGAAAATGTAATAAAGCCACAATCTGTAATGCTTCTACGTAGCAGAGAATGTGAAAAGTCTAATTCTTAACCTAATCATGAATTCTACAATGTTAAAGTGGTGTAAATTGTAAATGAGAGTGGCGCAAGTGTGTGGGCAAATGTGTGATTCAAGACAACCACGTTGTGGGCAAGTGGCACGCAGTAGCACAGGAAGTACTGAAAAACAAACCATGACAGGGATTAACACACTCACCACATAATAAGGATGTTCCCACGGAAGTAAACAACACAGAATTACACAAACCTTCCTTCATTAAACAGCTTATATCACTGCACCTTATGTCCATTCAATATTCTTCATTCAGTGACATTTAATATCCTGTTAAAGACTTAAAGAAACAGAAATGTGGAGCATGATGAGTTTCTTTAATGCATTTAATCAGCATTGATTCTTTCTGTTGGTATTCTGTTGGTTACCACTTTATCAATCTTTAGGGTGCAATTTCAACAGACTTAAATGTCTGTTAAAAATTATTTTGGCATTCATTATTCAATATCTATGTGAAACAAATGTTAAGCACCAAAATACACGGCTCCGTATGAATCTTGAAATATTTTTCTCACAACCGAGAACCTTCGGATGGGTGCCCTTGCAGCAATCGTAGCACAGGGGTCGATTATGAGGAGGCCACAAATCCTGTTACAAGTCAATTCCTCCCTTCCCTGTGGTTGTTTGAAGACAGTAGAGCGACTGCTGTTGCTTCCCTGTTGGTCTCTTTATGCTTCAATTGTAAAAAAACATAGATCCACCCAAAAAGAAGGACGCAGAGATGCCAGGGATGTGGGAAAAAGGGGAAGAAATCCTCTTTGAAGGTTTAAAAATATGATTATGTCTCTTTTATCCAGATGTTTGTTCATGTCCATAACAATTCACACTGAAAAAAATAATGTTTCTATATGAGATGTGATCCTGTAAAAACT